GACATTTATTCTGGGATGAGGAAGGACCATTGGGGTGTAATAAAGAATGATCTAAAAGCAACTATGACTTACATCCTCCACAACCTCACTGAAGTCCGCTGTATTTAACATTTTATAATTCACTACTACTTTTAGCCCAAAGTAGACACATGTACCTACATTTTTAGCACTATTTTGAGACACTCAAAAAGTCTCACACTTTTTCTCACATAAGGTTTGGATTACAGTCATTCCACATTTAGTTGACAGCCAAGTCATGAGTGGCTCAGTATTGGGGCTGGTCTTTATCAATGATCTGGAGGAGGGGAGCGAGTGCACCCTCAGTAAGTTTGAAGACTACACCAAGTTAGGTGGGAGTGTTGATCTGCTTGAGGGTAGGAAGGTGACATAGAGGGCTCTGGACAGGCTGGATTGATGGGCTGAGACCAACGATATGAGGTTCAACAAGGCCAAGTGCCGGGTCACGCACTTGGATCACAACAACCCCCTGCAGCGTTACAAATTTGGGGAAGAGTGGCTGGAGAGCTTCTCAGCAGAAAAAGACCTGTCGGTGTTGGTCAACAGCCAGCTGAATATGAACCAGCAGCGCGCTCAGGTGGCCAAGAAGGTCAACAGCATCTTGGCCTGTATCAGGAACAGCGTGGTGAGTAGGACTAGGGAAGTGATTGTCCCCCTGTACTGGGCACTGGTGAGGCCCCACCTTGAGTACTGTGTCCAGTCTTGGGCACCTCACTAAAAGAAAGACATTGAGCTGCTGGAGCGGGTCCAGAGAAGGGCAACCAGGCTGGTGAGGGGTCTAGAGAACAAGTGTAGCAACTGAGGGAGCTGTGATTGTTTAGCCTGGAGAAGAGGAGGCTGAGGGGAGAGCTTATCGCTCTCTACAACTACCTGAAAGGAGGGTGTAGAGAGGCAGAGGTTGGTCTCTTCTTCCAAGTCACAGGCAATAAGACATAAGAAAATGGCCTCAAGTTGCACCAGGGAAGGTTTAGATTAGATATTAGGAAAGATTTTTACACTGAAAGGGTTATTAAGCATCGTAACAGGCTTCCCAGGGAAGTGGTGGAATCATCATCCCTGGAGGTATTTAAAAGATGTGTAGACGCAGTGCTTAGTGAAATGGTTTAGTGGTGGTTTTGTCAGTATAGGTTGATGGTTGGACTTGATGATCTGAAAGGTCCCTTCTAACCTTGACAATTCTATGATTCTATGCACCAGTTCTTTACTAATGGCTTTGAATGGAAGGCCACAGAATCAGTAAAATGTGCCAAACTTGTTTGGGAGAGGCACCTCCATTCACTAAAACAAAACAAAACAAAAACAGACAAAAAAACCCCAAACCAAAAACCCCATTGTTATTGTTTTGTGTTTACACATTACCTGTACACATAATCACATGTGAATTAAGGACAAACAGGTAATTCAATTTAGATACCAATACAGTAATAACAAGAAAAGTCTACATGAAAATAAAGCATTTACAAAGAATGCTTACAGAAGAATAACATTAATATCCCTAAACTACTTAAAAGAGAGACTGGAATTATCAAGATGCAAACATATATTGAGATTAACAGACTTAGATCTGTACTACAGAATTTTCACCCTGCAACATTTCAAAGTGAACATGCTACCACACCTGACTTTAAAGCAAAAATCAAAGGAAAAATTAAGAGGGCTCTTCAGAATCTGTGACCCAAACCTGGACCATATATAAAAGCAGCTCCTGATACTGATGGATATATAAATAACAAATCAGCACGAACATATATAATACTGTTTTTTAATTTGTTTTTGTGGGTGAAAGAAAGAGATCCTTAGAAAAAAAGGATAATCTATAAAATCTATTCCAATAGAGTATACTGCACTCGTAGATCAGCAAATGGAAAATAGAATATATATTTTTGTACAGTTTGTACAGTCATATAATATTGCTACAAGATAATATTTTCTCCAGAACATACATAATTGGTAGTCCAACCACTTTTACTGAAGTCAACAGAAAGGTTATAGTATTTTGAACAGGTACTACATTTTTTCACATTAAAAGATGCAACTTCAGCAGGTGCTGATACCAGCTTTAAACGAAAAATTTTCTTTTTTTGTCAGTATTTTCATAGAGTTTGTTTCCCTGTTATATGAACTCATGACTAACTGATGAGAATAGATATTACAACTTGTACTGCAAAAAGATTCCACTTACTTAGGAGTGCTTATGCAAGTACTTCCTGAAACAAGCTGAATTTCCTTAAACTTCACATTTTCTTATATTTTTCATTGTCATTATTAGGATGAAAGATGAACAGCTCAATTTTATTCACAATCAATTTGAGATTTAAGCAGTTAATTAAAGTACTTCAATTAAAATTACTATCAGCCAAAAGAAAACAAATACAACTAAAATACAAATGTTAAGTATCCTGGTTAGAATTTCTGGATTGTGTGAAATCTCTGCGAATCAGACAGGTAATGACTGTAACACCTGTTTTTAACGTCAGAGCACTCAGGACACCTTGTCACTGGAAGTGGCTGTTTCATGCTCAAATCATGGCCCTCAAAAATAAACTTACACTAAGCACTTGCACTTAGAAGAAAAGTCCTGCTGTTTGAATGAGGTGATGGAGCAAGCACTGAGATTTTCAGCAAGTACAGCACAGAGCGAGCCATTCTAGTCACTAGCTTACCTGGTTCAAGAAGATAAGGAGCTGTGGCAATAGCTACTATGTTCTGTATATGCTTCGTATTGAAAAGCTAGTACAGGCTGAGTGTGTCAATGAGGATTAGAGGACACTTATTCTGTAAGTCTGCACAGTTCAGATAACCTTTGGCTATTGTGAAAGCACCACTTACATCTGCTTAAATGCACCTCACAATCCTATATATTTGAGACTTGTTTATGTAGCTTCAAGGTAACAGACTGATATAAACTTGTAATTAGCACAAAACCTACCAGCACAGCCACCAGGAGGCTAATTTGGATTTAGAGAGAACTCCTCAAAATATCCACGTTCTTGTAAACACAAAAAAACCCCAAACCCCACCAAACACAGGTGTGGAAATTGTTCTGTCTCCGAGGTCTGGGAGTAAAATCAGGAAATACAATAAAGGAAGTTCAGCAATTGAACCTGTTTGAACCTGCTCTTGAATGCAGTAATTAAACACAAATGCTGATACAGCCGAGGTTTTCTGAACTTCAACTGGCATGAAAAATGTGTAATTTTCACTTATTCTTGACAACTGCTTAACTGAAATTTGTGTTTTTCCTAGGATACGAGAATTAAAATGTTGTGTGCATTACTATGAGTAAAATAAATGGATGACAGTATTTAATCCTTCTACTTACTCATGTTCTGAATCATTTTTAAGAATCCACAATAACTGCACTTCATTGCAGCTTCTTTTATGATACATTTTATTGCTGGGGTAAAGAGAACAGCACACAAAATCCAACTGAACAAACACAGCAAATGGCCTTGAATACACTGACATTATAAGAATTTAGGTGAGGTTAGTAAGAACTTTCTTATGAAGAAGTAGTGAAAACAGAAATGAATTAATCTAAACCCCTCAAATGATCCCAGATACCTGAGGATATGGTCAAATTGTGAAGTTGTAAAGGCAAGATGCAGACACTGGCAAGGGCAATGAGAACTAGTAAAAGAGCATTTTTGAGCTCTGGGTGGAATTCAAAACATGGAGGAAAAAATCCCATAAAATACAACTGGTCTATTTCTGAAACACCACAGGCTGAGTTTCAAATGTTATCAGAAGTCACTAGAAAAATGGGAAAAAAAGTATTCTATGGTTGCCTAGACAAAACAAAATTGACAAACCCCAAGCTTCTTTCCCAGCAGTGATAAATAAAAGCACAGCTAAAGAATATTGAAATGGTCTCTCGCAGTATTTGGAAGAAGCTTGGTGTCACTATCAAGCAGCTGGTAGGTACAAATCTAGATAGAGGTGTTACAATTATCTACATAAGAAAATGTATCAGTGCTTGAGAAGAGCGTGGGCTATGGATTTGAGCTTATTTCCTCAGCATCCATTGTGCTACCGGTTATCAAATGATCTTTCATCAGGTTTTGCAGCCTTTGTGAATAAGTGCATCTTCCTTTTGCGATCAAGCTATGTCTACTGATATTCTCGAATACTTATGTTATCTCGATTCCTCTGGTTATAACAAATAAATGTACTAGACAAGAAAGGATGCAGTGATGCTATCATTTCATGTCGGTCTAATTTATGGCAGATTCCTTTTATTTCCAGCTTTGATATCGATACCAAAGCAAGAGTTCTTGTTAGATAAACATAACTTTTACACTTCAACTGAATTTACAACTACTTATTAAAGCAGGGTCTCTGGCTCAGTGTATATCACGCTTAAGAACCTTTAGAAGAAAACATGAAAAATGAAGAAATTGTACCTAGTGAGTATTTTCTACATTACAAACAAACGGGGAAAATTGCAACAAGATGTGAGTAAAAAAAGCTGAATCTCTAATGCTCCATCTAAAACTTAGGTTTAATCATAAACAGACCATGAAAAGAGAATAAGCAAGCCAGAAGAGCAAAATACACAACTCTGAATTTTTAGTGGTTTGATGTTCTTTTGGAAAGCATACCATTTCAGATTGCTACAAATTCAGAATAGCTTCTTAAAGCTATGAGACATTCTGCTGCATGAGCTATTTCAAGTATATTAAATATGGTTTTCTAAAATAGCTTCTCCAAGAATAAGAGCTCAATGAATATATGTAATAAATACAGAAGTCATTAACTCTTAGGAAGTTCTAAAACCCTTCAATCCACAAACTCTTACAATCCAGAAAGCTCTGTATCAATTGAGAATGCTTTGCTCTGTACATCTTATAGTAGGCTGCCCATTTCTACCTAGTTCACTAGGTGCATTTATTCATAAGTACTTCCTTGCATAATTCTTGATATTCTAAAGAATTTACACAGGATACATATGTCTCCCATGGAACTTAAGCTAAATTACTTACCTTTCTTCCTGCTAAAAGCACGATTCATGATGAAAAATCTGTCCAGTCAACAATGTTTCCTGGTTTGGATTTTTTCCCCACTTAAACCTGCAGAATAATACACATAAGAAAACAGAAAAGTCGATTATTATATATGAAATTACCTCATTATCTTCATATTAAAGATAACACAAACTATTTTAAGGATTCTGAAATAATTCTGAGAAATAAAAAGGAGTTGTGCTTTGCCAAGGAAGAAACTGCAGAATTGAGAAGATTATGTTTCAATGCCCAGTGGTACGTAATATAGAAAGATATTTTGAAGCTTTCCGTGGAGGTCTTCTCACTGAGATTTCAGAGACACAGAGCAGATGGTATTATATATATACATGAAGACAAATACTACCCACAAATAGGTTGGAAAGAAAGCTTTAAAATGAATGTGGACTACAGAACTCTATAAAAACATTCAGTTCACATTTGCACTGCTCTGTTTTGTGTCATTTAGGCTGTCAGATTGTTTCAAGCTATGCTTTCATCTTCACGTGCGCTTGTCACTGAAAAATAAAAATAAAAATCACAATATAGAGAGTCCCCTTAACCCAGGGATTCAGGACTGAAAAAATTGACTTCTATCAGAGCAACTACCTCCTTGCTCTAATGACATCAGACTGTAAAGTAAATTCTGTATTTTCTTCATTTAAAAATACTATTATTTCAGAAGGGAAGACGCAATGAAATAAGCAAAGGTAACAGGACATACTATCCATCTAATTATTTTGATATAAAAATCAAGAAACAACGCATTTGGCACACTACACAGTAGTTCTTAACAGCAAAACTGCAGAAGCCTTACATACATCCATTGCCATTCCCACTGGCTGCCTTCACGCTCAGCAGGGCTATACAGAAAGCCACAGATACCGAGGTCAGCGAAGAGAGCAAAGACCCGCAAGGGCTCTGAAGCCCTAGGAATGATTTCAGCAGCATCCCTGGAACAGGCAGTGGCATTACTGAGGTAATTCCACTAAGTAACTGCTCACCCATGAGGGAGTTCCACCAAAAGCTGCCAACATGCAAGTACTTCTCTTCACAGAGAAGGCAGGACTTTCAGCTGTGTAAATGATGACAATCAGTTCAGTTTAAATGCAGTAACAAGCAGTTAAGAACATTAGAATTTCAACTTTTCAAGCAACTGACAAGCATATTTAGCTTAGAGGTTTACTTTCAGGGGGAACACAGGGAGCCTATTACATACGCTTAGGTTATCCACGCAATGGCAGAACTTTGTTCAGGATGTTCATCCTCTTCATGAACTATTACAATCAGTGAAGAAAGCAGTTTTGAGTTAAAAAAGAGTATGCTTTCTCCTCTTACATACTTTTGGCACTTGTCCCGCACAGCACTAGACCAATCACTTCAGTTCTCCTCCACCATGGGATCATAATATGTCCTTTTTCAGAACCCTTTCAGAAACCTTTTTTTTTTTAAATTGTGTACTTCTATCCTCATCCAAGAAACTACCAAGTAACATATTTGAGATGGCTTACTGAGTAGAGGATCTCCTAAATAGAGCCTCTGCACGCACATCATGAGGCTGTTGGCTGGCCACATTTCTAGAGATCACCATTCAAGTATTTTGTTTAAAACACAGCTAGCAGTAACGAAGCATGTGGTTTTTCCTCATGGTAATGTAAGGATACGTTACCATTAAAGACATCTACACTAAAACCAGCCAAAATTTATTGACTACTTACCTAAAAATGGACAGTATTTTGCCAAAAGCGTGTTCATAATTTCAATTCCAACATCAGTAGAAGAAAATACACAAATGGTTTAGGCAACTAGTATTAAAACACTCAATCAGTGTACTTCCACTTATCACAGAAAATGTTAAACAGGGAAAGAAACACAATTAGCTACATGCAACTGCTTTTAAAATTCCCTCAAATTCCAATATGAAGAACTTCATTAACCTCTCAGATGCAGAAAAAGCAGATGGTTATATGCCCCATAAAATTTTGCTATTTAAATAAAGCAACCCAAACACCACAAGGCTAACTTCAAATTCATCAGCTGGGTTTGGAACAAGAGGGTGGTATCAGACTGTTGTTAGCAGCACTGTTAAACTTTTGATAAGGAGAAAAGGAAAGTTATGGTTGGATGTACCTATGATATCTTTGCTCACAACATTCCAATAGACAAAAAAACAAAACTATTAGGAGCAAAGAAGCTTTCCTCTGATCACAGATGCTAAACATATTTTCTGGTAGAGTATGATTTTGTTTCTGACAATGCTCGATACACAAAGCCGCTGGAAGAAATTAAGCTGCAAACCAGTCTGTTAAGAGCTTGTAATGAAGTCTAAAGGAAGGCAAGTCTGAAAATCCCATTATGGTTGAGCGGGAGGCTGTGAAGAAGGGAGGAAGTCCTTCCTATGAAACCACATGTGTAGAAAGGGTAAAGCAGTTGCAACAATCAGAGGCATCAGGGAATAGGACCGCAGACCAAGACATTTCATTACTCATCACTTAGGAAGACACACCTATGTAAAGAATGTTTCTCCACCTTACTCTTAGGAGTTCTCTTTAGCTTTGTCCAGAAACCAAACGCTACTAGGAAATACAAAGTGGTTAACTGACAAAATATGAAGAGTTCTGACTTGTATATAAACTAGGGAAATTTTGGGTTATATCAGGTTACTTCATTTGGGGCAGAGAGAAAAGAGAGAGAAAAAAAGAAAGAGAAAGAAAAGAAAGAGAAAAGGCTTAGAAAGTTATTTTATTAAACTAACAACAATAATAAGAATATAAATAAGAGCCAAACATTCTGGGCAGGGGGAGACACAACATTCTCAGTCTGAGCATGGTCCTGTGGCATGGAAAGTTGAATATTTAAGCTGCTGTATCAAACTTCAAACAGTAACAGGGCAAAGCAAACACCATCTCCTTTCCCTTTGTCTTCACTGTCATTAACCCCTTCCTTCATGGCGAGGTGCTTCTCACAGTAAGGAGGAAACTGCAAAATGGCAAGGGGTGCAATGAAACTAATGGATTTGGTGACTGCAGTGTTTGCAGGCATTTGGATTGGTGAGTGCAAGGGTGGTAAGATTTGAAGCTGAAGCTGTCACCTCTGTAATTGCTTTCTAACACTAACAATAACGTTGGTTGCTGTCTTCTCTGCTTTATGCAGCAAAGGAAGCCAAACAAAGGAAGCAGAGTGGCAGCTTTCCAGCTTCCAGCATAAGCAACCGCAGTCCTCCCTGGCTGCTGAAACAACACCGAAGCTTCCACCCAGACATCTTTAAATGCCTGCGGGTTCCTTCAGAAATGTTGTGTTTTGATGTTTTCTAAATTTAGAACTGTCTCAGACAAGTCAAGAGAGAGGGTACTTAGGAAGGGGATGAAACAAATCACCAGGATAACTGGCCACATTTGTCTCTTACTTCCTCTTAAAAACTGGGTATTCCTCAGGATTTATCTGAGCTTCCTCCCTACGCCCCCTCACCACCCCCCTCCCACTCCCAGCCAGTCCCTTTGAATGGCCCAGGCTATCACAATTACCTGGGCTGAGCTCTTTCTTTTTATTTTCTTTCTCCTGTGTATCTCTTTTTCATTCCACAAATAACTCTTCCAACAAAATCTCCCTAAAACCCCTAACTTGCAGCCATCCACTCAGTTTTACAAAAAGCAATAAAATTTAAAAAAATATATATAAATTCGTCCAATCTGTTCCTTCCCTCTCAAACGCACGCACAGAGTTTCCACACAAAGCCAAATTTAGCTTCAGAATACCTGAGGATTCAGACTTTCCCCTCTCAGACCCCAGCCTTTCAAGCATACTGGATAACATTTCTTAAAGAATGAAGCACAAAATTTCTTAAACCTTGTTTTCAAAAGGGCTGCAGCACACAGGAATGTGTGATTCATTGACTTGCAATGAAACTTCGGTGTATAAAGTTACATCTGAAGGTAAGATGAGAAAGTTTGGAATATGGTAACAGCTTTCAAACTCTTTTTCTGAGTTAGACCAGAACACCACCAAAATATTGTCCTGATATGACATGTGACATAATGAAGGAAAAAAATGATGATAATAAAAAAGTACATTAAGTGATACACAAAAACAAATATCATATCATGATGTATTCCCCTTCTTTTTGTATGACAATTAACTGAAATGCAAACTTGCCACAACTCTTTCTCCTCTGAAACAGTAAAATGATAAGAAAAAGATGTTGACATGTCAATAAACCAAATTCAGTGCAACCCAAACCTGCACTCATATACAGCCTTTCTTAATATTTCGGAAGTAAGCAGTTCTATTCATGTTGTGAAAATATGTCTGTCCTTTATGTTTATAAGTGAAAATAGCATAGTCTATAGACTATAAACCACATCAGCATTTAAATAGAATTCAGTGCTATAAAAACTTGCTGGAAAAATATCCCTTCAAGATCCTCCAAAACAGCATAGCTCTATGGGCCTCCCCAAAACTGAACAGCATCTGTCAGCTGAAGTCCTCAGCCTACACTTGGGCTTCATAATTGCACAGAAACACGAATGGAATATAAAGGAGAACATTCAGTCAACGGAAAGCTTTACTTTTAAAGTTTTATTAATCTCTGCATTTTCAAAAGCATTCATTATCTGGAGTCAAGTGGCAGGCATTCTTTCTGGCTGGAGGCAAACCTGCAGAAGTCCGAAGTTAATTCTTGTCATTTTTCCATATGCAGAGGAAGGGGTACAGCACTGGTTAAGAACTGGTCTTTTATGTAATACTCTCCCCACTACCAAACTACACCTTGCTCTTGAGATGATCATATTCTTAATGGGGCAGAGCTACACAACAACTCTGGTGGACTGTTAGCCCTAAAACTTGCAGTGAGGGAGGCATAAGAGTGACCAGATGCATCACCAGGGCTCACCAAGTGCTAGTGAAGACAAGGCGGAATGGACTGGCAATCACCAAAACAGCTGGAAAACACAGCCCTTAAACATAGCTCACCTTCCAACATACTCACTCTCTTTCTGTGAAAAGGATAGGCAGGAATACCCTAATCTGTAGTTTAAAAACACTTCTCCGGTCTGACAAGATGACAGCCCCCG